TTTGCTTCTGTGAAGAGCTCATCTAAACTCTACTTCTCATCCGGTCACTCTTCAGAAATGTCCTGGGAAAGAAGCACAATCAGATCTTCGAACAACGTATCAACTTCTACATCAACTTTTATTTCTCCCCCCATCAAAAATTATGTAATTTTTAAAACCACACTGAGGCAAATGTGTGTTTACTTTGAGAAGTAAAAATGTTAACGTTTAAAAGGGAAAGCCTGTTTCGGTTTTAAGGTACTTAATTGCCTTACAGCATATAATAAACCAAGCCCATCTTGTCATCCAGCTAATGGAGGGAGTGATAAAGAGATAGGAGCCGGGACCCTATTCATTCCAGTTTTCCTTTGTACTTGGTTTACTTTGGCACTGTGCCTCATGTGTATTTTACACTTCTTTACATTTTGTACATCCCTGTATGACAAATACTTGTCAAACAAAAACTAAACAGATTTATAACCCCTTAACTTGAAATGAGCCAAAATTGAACTGCCAAAACTTTATGACTTCATTTTCTTTCATAGTTTTCCACTACATTGGTTCAAGCAGACAAACCCCACTTGAGGTCAAGCGGAGGTCATTTCACTTTCATTACTAAAATATAATTTACAATATGCCAGACCTAAACAAGTTTAGCCTAAAGGGTTTGTATAATGTAAACCATCTGTTCCTCAACAATACAGCTAATTTCCTGCCATCACCGTACAGTCTACTGACTGCTTCTTTAAGGGCGTTTATGATTTTTTAACTAGTTCAGGATTTATGTAAAATTCGAAAATGAGTCTATAGTTAAGACTCATTTGTACCAAGTAACTTGAGCATTTTAAAAATGCAAATCACTGTATAAATTGTTCCCCTGAAACCAAGCTCTGAGCCGTTTTTTCTGGGCACTTCTGTGCCGGCTGCTGCACAGGTGTTCGAAGGAAAGGTTTTGTGAAATTTACCATTGTAGATGTTTTCTGTGCTTCTTTCCAAAGCAAACGCCCAAATTTGGCTTTGAGTGGCTCTATTAAACTACTCCTTCCTTCTATAGATTGGAGAAGAATTGGGACTATATGTTATATGGCCCCCTGGGTATTGGTGAGATATGGTACGGCACACTTTGGGTAAAATGTACTCTCTTTCATGTGTCTGAATAGGGAGAAAGAATAATTATAATTATAATTCCACAGAGTGACCACACACTGGAGGCCAACCTCATATCCCTGCAAGGTGTCAGGCCCTAGGCTGAGGCTCCAGTGACATTCTGTGTCAAACTGTGATTGCTGGCTAGCAGGTTTCTCTGGTTTCAAAAAGCATGTGCTCAAAGCAGAAGGCCTTGTAGATCCAAGTGCAGCTCTTTTGGCTGTCCGGAAAAGTCTCAGTACTTTCTCTAAGCCCCAGTACTTTCTTTAAGCCTCTTTCTCCATCTGTAAAAATGCAAGAGTAAGAATTCTTCCAAAGGGGAACACAAGAGAACTAATTTGCTTACCTCAGTGCAGGGGAGTGCAGCTGGCCTTAGCTGCAAAGCCCCAGGGCCATGTATCAGGCTCATGCCAAGGTCCTGTCTACCCCTTCTTCTCTTCTGGTCCCCACAAGTTTGGCCTGCTTGCTTCCTTTTCCCTTCGGCTACCATCCACTTTTCCACATGGGCTCTTGCTGCCTCCACCTCCAACTGTATTCTCAGAGGATCAGGCCTCAGGCGACTCAACTTCTCACCCACCCTTAGGCTCCAAAACAAATTCTCTGTCATTTTTTAAAGAAGTTTTTTAAAAACTAACAACTGCAGGAGAACAGAGAAAGATTAGCAGGAGAACTTAAACACGTTTTTTAAAAACATAGAGGGAATTATAGAAGACTTTCTAGAACTACTTAAGGCTGTAAATGGATCTAAATTATTTGCATTTACTCCACTTCCTGGATAACTTCCCTAATAAGGATAATAAGAATGATTTAAAGAGCACTTATTAGATGGAAATTACTTTCATATATCATTGTATTTAATCCCTACTGCAACTGTGCAAGCTAGATTTACATTATTTCATAGATATGGAAACAGAGGTTCAGAAAAGTTAAGAAACTCAGCCAAGGTCAGCAGCTAATATATAGGACCTACCCCACAGGGTTGTTGTATTAAATGATTTAATATTTGTTAAATGTTTAGAATGTTATCTGGCACTTAGTAAGTACTATGTAAGTCTTAACTATTATTAATAGCAGCAGGTCCAAAGATGCAAACCCAGATTTGTATGAGTCCAAAGCTCACTTGGTTTGAATTACACTATACTGCGTATGGGTAAGTTTCAAGCTGTAGGGAAGGAAGGGGTGTTGGGTTTATAACTCTTCATCATATCAGTCTAATATTTCATGGGTTTATTTCCTAATTCCCATTTTCCCAAAAGAAGTTTTAGTACACAATCCCTTATCCTTTTCTATCACCAAGGTTCAAGGGACCTTCATGTAAATTTGATTCATTTACATCATTAGGAAAAGTTCTGATGGAAATCCCCAATCTTAACATCAAGCAGGAAAAATTCACCTTGGGCAGTGCTCCAGGTCAATTTCATGGAAATTAAAATTTGCTGAAAATAATGCACCAAAAAACAGTTCTTCCAATTGTCAGTTTTTCAAGTAGTTAATTAGGTAAATAACCTATTTGTTTTCATTTAAGTAAAAATAAATTCTACAGCAATTAAAAAAAAATCACCTCGAGTTACTCTTGCCAGCAAAAATAAAATCATCTGAGGGCTGAAAGAGAAAAAAAGGAGGGTTGGTTTAACTGATTATCTTTCTCAGCACCCACACCTTGCTCTCCCAAAGGAACTCCATTTAGCTCCCACAAAAATCCAGACCGTACAAGCAAAAGGAAGAATGGTGGATGGACGTGTAATTGCAGAAGAAATTTCCTGATTCAATCTGTTGAAAAGATTGGACTTATGTTTTCAATAATTTACTTTTTTTTTGAATTGGTAATATATGCACCTGGTTCAAAAATTTTTAAGTACAAAAAAGCATAAAGTGAAAAATCTCTCACCTCTACCCCCTGCTTCTCATTCCCTCTTCCATTTCCCCCACCCCCCAGTAACCACTGCTATCTGTTTCCCAGGTATCCTTTCATATTTTCTTTATGCATATGCAAAGAAATATGAATATATTCATTTTTTTCTCTTCTTTTACTCAAAATCGGCATACAATGTTAATTGTTCTTTTGCTTTTTATTTTTAACTGAGTGATAGGATTTTGGAGAACTTTCCATATTGGTACATACAAAGCTTCCTCATTCTTTTTCACAACTATAATATAGTCTATTTAGTAGCTCCACCATAATTTATTTAATCAAGTCTTCTCTAGAGGGACATTTAGGTTATTTCTAATCTTGCTATTACAAATAATACTATATAATGAATAGGACTAGATCAATAAGTGTTAATTTACTGAAGGTTTAAAGCAATGCATTACCACTACTTTCAGCATAAGTAACTTTCCTGTAAGGTGTTCCCAAATATAAATCTCATAAAATCTGCTTTGATGAACAAATGAGACCAATTTTTATATGTATTTGTAACATTGTCATTTTCAATCGGGATACTCAAAGTAGTATTCTTTTCTAAAAAGATAAAGGATTTGGAGTGCAGAGATTATTTTAGAAATCAAGAGTTTTATGTACAAATGCATTGCTATTATGACTTTTTTCTAACAAACTAGACTAAACATCAGGCTAGATCTGAGGTGAATTTTAAAAAGAGTAAAACACATGACATTATAGACATTTACTGCCAAGATCAAATATCACAATTTAGTACTTATTTTCATTGTGAGCTAGATGCCTTCTCTTGTCTATTTTAAGGTCAATCAATAAATGACCTGCTTGCTAGGCCCTAGAGATATAAACTGATATGAAAGGCGATGTTTCTCTTCAAGAAGCTGAAATCTGATTGAGAGGAAAAGAACAGCAACATCAAGCTAAAAGTTAAATAGTACTTACCATGTGCCAGACTTGGTTCTGAGTACTTTACAAATGTTAATGTATTCAAAGTTCACAATAATGCTATAAATACAATTATTATCATCCCATTTCATAGATTGGGGTATTGAGACACAGGTTAAATATTGCACCCAGCGTCAGTCACAAGCTGGTAAGTGGAGAAGGCAGGATTCCAACTCAGATTGTCTGGCTCTAGAGGCCATACACTGCTTCTTGTATGTGGTGGCATTCAAACGGGAAAGCCAAAGGACTCCAGAGTGGGGAAAAGTTTCAGGGGAAGTGGTGCCTAAAACAGGCTTTTTAGGAAAGAAAGGATTTGATAAGTAGAGAGAGAGGAGCACATTCCAAACCTTCCCACCTTTCCTGTGAGCACCTTAGAAGGACAATATTTCATTTTGCTTTCTCTTTTAGCACAGTAAATATCCTAAGAATGGGAGAGCCTTGGAGGAACAAAAGTATTGGGCAAGAATGTGCCTGGTTTGGGGGTGGACACTGAGGAGACCTATTTAACTAAAGTGACGCTATCCCATAGAGGAGTAGCCAGGGATCATGTCGGGGAGGACAGGTTAGAACCAAATCAGAACTGTGCTAAGTACCAGCCTAAGAATTCAGGCTGTGTCCTCTGCAGTAGTGTTTCTCATACCCTAACATTCACAGAAATCACCTGGAGTCTTGTTAAATGCACATACCAATTCAGGAGGTCGGAGGTGGGCCCAAAAGTCTGCATTTGTAGTAAGCTTTGGGTGATGCTGATGTTGCCGGTCCCAGACCACACTTTGAGTAGAGAGACTACTGGCAACAGCAGGAAACCACTGTGGGATTGGAGTTGGGGGTAAGGGATAGGGGAATGATAGAATATTGCCTAAGGCACCTCCCCTAAATTGCATCCCACAATTTTAAAGACATATAGACCTACAATATTTTATTCAATCTATTTACAAAACTTTTTTCTGTATGCCCCACCCCTCCTTTCAGATGCCAAGATGTCCTGGGTTAAGAAATGTTTTAACCCACACTTTTCCTTTCTTTTATACAGAGCAAGGCTAAAGAACTGCCTCTTTCTGCTGTGCGTTTTATGGAAGAATTGGGTGAATGTGCCTTTGGAAAAATCTATAAGGGCCATCTCTATCTCCCAGGCATGGATCATGCTCAGCTGGTTGCTATCAAGACCTTGAAAGACTATAACAACCCACAGCAATGGACAGAATTTCAACAAGAAGCCTCCCTGATGGCCGAACTGCACCACCCCAATATTGTCTGCCTTTTAGGTGCTGTCACTCAGGAACAACCGGTGTGTATGCTTTTTGAGTATATGAATCAGGGGGATCTCCATGAGTTCCTCATAATGAGATCGCCGCATTCCGATGTTGGCTGTAGCAGTGATGAAGATGGGACTGTAAAATCCAGCCTGGATCATGGAGATTTCCTGCACATTGCAATTCAGGTTGCAGCTGGCATGGAATACCTGTCTAGTCACTTCTTTGTCCACAAGGACCTTGCAGCTCGCAACATTTTAATCGGAGAGCAACTTCATATAAAGATTTCAGACCTTGGGCTTTCCAGAGAAATCTACTCAGCTGATTACTACAGGGTGCAGAGTAAGTCTTTGCTGCCCATTCGCTGGATGCCCCCTGAAGCCATCATGTATGGCAAATTCTCTTCTGATTCAGATATCTGGTCCTTTGGGGTTGTCTTGTGGGAGATTTTTAGTTTTGGACTCCAGCCATATTATGGATTTAGTAACCAGGAAGTGATCGAGATGGTGAGAAAACGACAGCTCTTACCATGCTCTGAAGACTGCCCGCCCAGAATGTACAGCCTCATGACAGAGTGCTGGAATGAGATTCCTTCTAGGAGACCAAGATTTAAAGATATTCACATCCGGCTTCGGTCCTGGGAGGGACTCTCAAGTCACACTAGCTCCACTACTCCTTCAGGAGGAAATGCCACCACGCAGACAACCTCCCTCAGTGCCAGCCCAGTGAGTAATCTCAGTAATCCCAGATATCCTAATTACATGTTCCCAAGCCAGGGTATTACACCACAGGGCCAGATTGCTGGTTTCATTGGCCCACCAATACCTCAAAACCAGCGTTTCATCCCCATCAATGGATACCCAATACCTCCTGGATATGCAGCATTTCCAGCTGCCCACTACCAGCCAACAGGTCCTCCCAGAGTGATTCAGCACTGCCCACCTCCCAAGAGCCGGTCCCCAAGCAGTGCCAGTGGGTCGACTAGTACTGGTCATGTGACCAGTTTGCCCTCATCAGGATCCAATCAGGAAGCAAATATTCCTTTACTACCACACATGTCGATTCCAAATCATCCCAGTGGAATGGGTATCACCGTCTTTGGTAACAAATCTCAAAAACCCTACAAAATAGACTCAAAGCAACCATCTTTGCTAGGAGACTCCAATATTCATGGACACACCGAATCTATGATTTCTGCAGAACTGTAGAATGCCTGACTTTTGTAAATGTGGTATACAGGACAAACTAGAAATCCGTAGAAAAGATTTATATCCAAATGTTTTTTTATTGAAGTAAGGTTCTCACTTAGCAGACATTGCAACAAGTATCTTCTGTGAAGTTTAACTGTGTCTTACCAACCAGGACAGACCCTAGCTAGAAAAAAAAAACATTGTGGGATTTACACTCCATTGGAGTGCATGACATGGCATTGGGATTGGAATATATAATTCCAAGTACTGAGAACTGTAAACCAGTGAAGAGGAAAAGAACCTTATGATTAAATATCATACCAAAAAGTAAAGTCAAACGGTGCTTTGTGTATTTGCCTTTGGTCGCCATGACTGGTCTCTCCCCAAAATGTATATACCATAGCATTTGTCTACCTGCTGTCTTTTCTTCAGGACAGATGTTCAGGAATTGTATTGATTAAGTTTAGACTCTGTAATGTTTGTATGGAAGTGATATTCAGAATGAATCAATGAGGAAACTTTAGGCCAAATTTGAAATCCCGAACAGAAATGAGCCATAAGACAAGTATAGTATTTCCTGAAGCTTTCTACATAGAGGAGCTTCATTGGGAAGGTGCAGAGTGTTTCTCTTTGTGAACCTCCTCTTCTGATCATGAAGGCCTTTTCCACATTTCTCTTTTTCACAGTGTGTTTACACAGCCCTTGAAATAACACAGGGCATCATACCATAAGAAGGCTAGATGTGGATGCTGGAGTTGATTGTTGGTTGATAGCTCACTTCACTGCTTTAGGAATGAGGTACCAAACAAAGCATAGGCAGGAAAATGGCCCCTCAGCCTAGTCAGCATCCATGGAAGAGGAGTGAGGGTTTCCATAGAGACAGAAACAGAAGCGTGGCTGCAGACAGGCACACCCAGCTTTGCAACCTCCTGTTACAAGTTGTCCAAGGTGTAGGGATGCTTACCATCAGTGTACTCTAGAAAAGCAGAAAACCCTATGATGATGTCATCTAGTAAACTTAAAGTTTCTTCCACTTTTTTTTTTCTGTGCTGGAAACGTTCACAGATTTCAGTCCAGCCCTAAGAATTATACCAATTTATTCATATAGTTGGAATCCAAAGACAATGAATTCTATTTTGCGAAATTTTACAGTATTTCTTTAAAAAATAAGTACTGAGCTCTCACTTCAAAGAACTGAATTTTGTAAGCTGGTATATAGAAGCAGCATGATCATTCTTGCCTTAGACAGAGGTATCAAATATGCATCTGATGACATTTACCTGCCAACCACTTTTTGGCAAGTTTAGAATTCTTATAGGTTTAAGTTCTATAAAAAGGAATTTTATATCTGGTTTTTCTCTTGTTTAAATAAAAAGCTCCTTTATTCTAATGTCTCAAAGTCTCATTTTTATTTTAAAACTTTAAGAGACTTACAAAGAGACTTAAGGATGTAAAGTAATGCCTGGAAATGATAGTTGATGAGGAGAATGTATGAGAATTAGAAACACATTGATGTTTCCATTTTTTAAAATACAATTAGCAATGAGGAATAAAGGAAATGTTTACCAAAATGTGTTGCAATTTTCCCAAACCTGAGTCTTCAAACAACAAACATGAACTTATAGGTACTGTGAACTCAAAGAATTGGCTACATCCAGATTTACTGGGAGGTAAATTAAGACATATTTTTGTGGCATGAATAAGCTGATTCAGAGGTTACATTTCTTAACTTTAGGTAGAGGAGAATATTTGTATCCTTTTGTTGCTATGCAACGGTTTAATGATGAAGCTTCAAACCACAATTTTGTATATCATATGACAATCAATTGTTTTCCAAGAATATTTATTATTTTAAGTAAACACAATTTCAGTGAATCTTAGTTTTTCTAGAAGTCCCTTAAAGGGAAATTAGCATTCCATGAGCCAGTAAAATACCTACTCTGGAAAAACATTGTTACAGTTAAAAAATAAATTCAAGTTAGTTTTTTATGAAGAACTATAACATTTATTTTAAACATTTTATAATAACTGAAATCATTAAGGTGAACAAACTAAATTTGAAAACCACTTGTAATAATGTATTTTATAATCTCACTGTGATACTACATAACACAGTCCCTTTTGTATGAAAATAGTATTTTTTTCACAAACTGAAAAATACCTTTCTCTTTATTGACAATGTTTTTGTAAGATTTTATTTTCAGATTTTTTTTTTTTTTTTGCACAAAACTATGTTTATGGTTTGTATCACAGAAGTGAAAATATATCTCTGCATTTTTATATCTGGTCTGTTTCCTTGTTTCCTTTGTTTGTTTTTAACTCGATATAGATTTTGTTCAAATATATAGTGGCAATATTGGGATATCTGACCCTACCATATCTTTCCTTATTTTCACTGCATGCATTTAATCACTGTATTACTTAATGTTTGATTTGTTATTATGGGCATTTCAAATAGACAAGCATGGAATTGTAATGACAAAAAGGTGATTTTATATTGAGGATATATGCATTTGTATTTCACACACCAGAGATGATATTAAACACTGATTATTTTATGCTGCTGTTTATTAAAAATGTTTACTATAAAATATTATTTCCTTAATATTGCTATCATAGAGGTATTTGGGAATTTTAGTATGTCTCCTAATGATTGACATTTCATAGAAAGAGGAATCACAGTTCCTATTACTGTTATCACTAAAATGATTTTTTAAAGTAGACTTTTAAAATAGACTTGAGCATTCTTTTGTTAGCAACCATAGGTGGAGGGGAGAATCCCAGTGATTTCATAACTGAATACTATTCACCTATAAATGGCAAGATTTTAATTTTTTAATTAAAAAGTATAATAATTACTTTACAATCAATAGAATGTAAAAAATTGGTTCGAAGAACAGAGCTGCATATTTTTCTGCCTTGATATTTCCATATGAACTTAGACATCAAAAATCACAGCATAGGACTCTAAAGAAGAAAATGAGAAAGCTGTGTACACCTTTATCATGTCCAACTTAGATTCCAACCATATTGATAAAAGAAATGTGGCCATTCAATTGTCACAGCTTATCTTTATGACCTTATTTGCCCAAAAGAAAGAGTTCCCCATCTGGCAATTAATATACACTGTCAAGAAAAATGAGTATCATTATGAAAGTTCAAAGAACTTGTCCATTTCTGCTATTTAATACAGAAGAGAATACAATAAAACCTTCAGGGCCTTATCCATCTGTTTTAGGTACAGCTCCTGTCACCACCTCAGTGATGAAACTCAACAAAGCAATCACTTCAAATGGCAGTGAGATCTGTGTCAGGTTGGGTTTCTCCCTCTCACTTGAATTCCTCAATCTCCCCTTCACTTCTGTTTCCTTCTTACGTCTCTCCACGCTCTTGCCCCTCCTGCCACCCCAAATCCCTTCAGCTCTGAGATTCCCTTAATTCCCTAATCACCAACATCTGCAAGCTCCCAGCATCACCCTCCCATAATGCCTACTGTGACCCACTAAAAACTGAACGGAGAGGAGCTACACACTTTCAAAGAGGACTATCTATTCCAGTAGTTCTCAAAGTGTGGTTCCCAGAGCAAAGCACCAGCAGCACCCAGAAAATTGTTGGAAATGCAAATTATCAGGCTGCAGTTCAAAGTACGAAATAAGAAATTTGGCAGTGAGACCCAGCAATGTATGTTTTAACAAGCCTTCCATGAGATTCTGATATACTACAAAGATCGAGAACCACAAAACCAACATAATTTAAAGGCATGGGATGGGGGAAGGCATGGGAATGGTCACTACATTCTTAGCAATGTATAGATAAGCGTTTAAAAACATTTTAGCCACTTCCTTCCCCTTAAAGAAATTTGTTTTACTTTATCAAAAATTCGACACTAAAAACTTTTTGTTACCCATTTATCAATCAGTCATATTTTTTGTAGTTGTTCGCTTGAATAGAAAACTGACAGCACCTAGCCTTTGTCAACGTCCTCATCTAGTTCACCCGAGACCCACATTTTTGGATAGTGACCAAAAGCTTTTTCCTTCATATGGACAAGCTCAAAAAATGTGGTCTCTTAATACACCTTTTCTGACTCGGACTGTTGATTAACAAAACTAAAAGAACTCCCCTCTGCGTTGTTTCTTAACAAAGTTAAGGTCAAGGATAAGCTGGTCTTTCTCAGAGGAGGGAAAGGCCCAGCCCCTAGTAAGCATCAAGCAGGAAGCTGCTGCAGAGGCTCCCTCCCTCCCCTGCGCTTCCTGTGCTGCCCTAACCCAGCTGGCTGGCCGAAGTCACCTGTGCCTTGTTCTGCTGTTTTCCTTTGCCAGCTGCAGTCATTAGTCATTGGCTGGCTGCGAGCACTCCTCTGCTGGCTTTGCTCCCTGCTGCCTTTAGAGGACTGAAAGCTCTCAGGGAGGACAACAAAAGGGATCTAAGGGAGGTGCTAGAGGTGAAGCTCATACTCCTTAATTTATAGGGCATTTTTTTTCAGCCAATAGCTCAAATGCTAAAGAGGAAGTGCTAGATTAGAGGAGCATAAGGAGCAAGGGAGCACAGACATAAAGTTTTTTTGCAGCAAAAATAGGACTGCACCTGAAGTTTGTTACCATAAATGCCAAGAGTATTAGGACACTGTTAACTCAGGGGAGGGAGAGCCTTTCAAACCTTCAAAGCACTCAAGGTTGGAAAGGCTGGAAAGGCTTAAAAACATAGAGACATACAGGGAGAAGGTCTACTGACATGTTTATGACTAGCTGAATCCTAAGCACCCACGAATTGCTTATTCGCAAACGCGTACCATAACATTTGTTCACCAGACCTGGCAAGATGGGTATCCTTACTGAAGGGACTATGTTAGTAAATATTTTTATACAAGAATGATTTAAGTTAAGAGAAAAGCACCTTTTTAAAAATTACATAGGACATTACTCATACTTTGAAAAAGGACAAAATCTTCACCAGCTGAAATAAAGATAATTCAGGGAATATTCAATTTGAAGGAAAGTTCTAAATGTCAATCTTCATGAACTTGTGCCCTTGACTGTAAATTCAAACACACACAAAACAACAGAACTGGCTACATACAGCCATAGACTAATGTACAGGCTGTCCCCAGCCTTAAAGGCACATGGACCTTGCATCAGAAACAGGTCCAGGTCAAGCCACATCCTAGGGCGAGTGCTCCTTACATACTGCAGTCCTTGGGCATTGGAATAATGACTCCAGTTACATTTGGACCTGCTCTAATAGAACACCCTGAAAAGCTGCTTCTGAGTCTATACACATTAAAGCTCATTAAAATCACCTGAAAGGCACTAAAACTCCCCAGTGGCATAATCTAGGTAGTTTACTAACAGTCAATTTAGTAAGATTAAAACTAATATTCAGGCAAAATGACAGTTTGGGACTTTTTTTTCTTTTTTCCAGAGTTCACTGATTCCAACTGATTGATTCCAAATTAATGGATTCCAAATTGACCAATATTGATCATATTGGCCAGCTTGGCTGCAATAATAAAATCTTGGTGGCTTGCCTTGTAAAAGCAAATGTTTATTTCTCACTCATGTCTTTCAGCAGAGATGGGTCTGCTGTCGTGGCCCTGCTCCCAGGGTCTCGGAAAAACAAGATGTTCTCATGGCAGAGGGAAGAGAGCAAGAGGCAAAACTGAAACGCAGTCCTCTTGCTGGGAAGGGGGTGGTCAATAGGGAAAATAAGGCAATCCCCTACCCAGCTGAAGCCCTGAGTGGATAGAGTCCATATAGCAAACTCATGGTCCCTGTGTTCTTCTCTCCTCTTGAATTCGTGGCAGGCGTCGCTAATTGATGCTCTTTCCAGCTGAGCTCAGATGTAGCCTTAACATTTTCAACATACTTGTCGGGACAACCTACTACTCACAGTCAGAAATAGCTCTAGAACTGGTATAATTCTAGAATGGGAATAATTATGAGCTTTGTGGACTGGGTACTTGTAAACAGTGGAAATTGACTTACTAATAAATAAGGGGAATGTTTTCTCTTTTTTAAAAAAGAAATAGCTCTAGAAATGAAACCTGTGCTATAGCAATAGTCAAACCAGGTTATTATCATAACTGTCTGGGGAAGATTCTAAAAATTTTTAATTTCTAAGGACCACCCTCGAGTGTACCAGAAAAGGTACCTGAATATGAATGCCTCAGACATAGTGTACAACCCTGTATTGTTAGGTCCCCTTCCTTCCTGAGTTCTGCATGAAGAGAATGGGAGCATACAACCATGTATTTTCTGACTGCACCAGCACATGAGCTGGCAGACTTTGAGTAAGGCAATCTCTATTTCCTTATGCATCAAATGGCGTAAACATAGAATAGCCATTAAAAGTAAGGGTTCTTATGTCAGATTGTTGGGCCTTAAATCTCCCTTCACCCCTTGGCAATGATGTGAAATTAGACAAATTACTGAACTGTTGATTCTTCACCTGAACACATCGATTTTATAGAAATGTTATCAGATTTAAATGAGCTAATTCATGTAAGCTGTGGAGAACACCTGACACAGTTCTCAAAAAATGCAATCTGTACAATTTAAGTTTTCTATAATACGT